TAAATCCGAGTGTTGATGTTATGCCAAAAGTGGTATTTTGATGTGCACTCGCAGTAAGTCCATAATATTTAACTTTGCACCCTTTGAAATAGATACTATATATGGTTTAATACGATTGACGAAATGAGACTAGTTAATTTATTATTAGTAAGAACTATAAATCTAATATTAAGACGAATGAAGAAACAATGAAATTCTTAAAAACCACATTGGTTTTTGTACGTTCTGTCGCTGACAGGTGATGGGAAAATACCTGCTTGGGTTAATCTAGAGAAGTCCCATTCTATGGCATTCTCAGTTTTCCATGACCAGAAAATCCATCCAGCACCTTGTTCATATGCATCTAATTGAGCTTCAATGTATTTACGAACATTTTTTCTATAGTCACTTGACCAGCTGCCATAATCGAGGTAATTATCACACGAATCAATGTATGGAGTGTTTTCGAAGTCACCAGAGTATCTAGCACCTCTTCCAACACCGTTTAACCATGTTGCACAGTCTGTCAAAGCCGCAGACCATTCACCGACAACATTCCAGTGAGATTCTTCGGTAGCAGCTCTACCCCATTGACAAGCAGTTTCCACATGTTCATCAATGGATTTTTCTAAGTCATCTTGTGAAAACACTTGGTAGTGGTGGTGGTCTATGACAACATCCCAGTATTTGTTTGGAGGATTGAAGTCGTTGTTCCAGAATCCCATATCTTGGAAGGCATCATGAATAACAACAGTTTGCGTACCGGAGTTTCTGACGGTTTTGTATCCACCGTAATAAAAGGTTTTCAACTTGTCCATGTCTAACACTGGGCCTAAAGGCTCGTTCAATAACTCGATACCAATGACCACATCTTCGTAGTTAGAACCACCGTATTTTTCCAGGATTTGTGCTAACACATTAAGAGTGGTTTGAGTATTGTCGCCGGATTGGAATCCATATTCATCACGTAACCCAGAGTTATCAAACCCGTTCTGGGACCCTGGAGCACCGTGCAAATCGATCCAGACCTTCAAGTCGTGGTTTCTACACCATTTCAATGCTTTTTCCAAGTACTTGTCTTGGCCCAGGACGTATGGATCTGAATCCAAGGTCTGATAGGCCCAGTACCCGATTGGAATTCTAACCATATTCAAGCCAAGCTTACTAATTTTAGCAATATCATCTTCGGTAATCCAATTCTTCCAGTGGGTCTCTAAACGTTGCTTACATACGTCCTTGCCCAACTTTTTGCAGTAGTGGTATTCGTCGACTGGAGTATTACCATCATCAGCATTTTGTTCGAACAACGATGGAGTCATATAAGGTTCCAATACGAACCACCCACCAAGGTTTACCCCGCGGATCTTATCTTTCTGATAGTCGAACCCGGAGTCCTTCTTGACCAATTCACCATTCTTGGGAGTAAACGGAGCTGCGACACAAAGTCCTATGATAGCGAAAATAGCCATCAAGTGTCCTGCAACACTACTAGCAATAACCATTATGAATAATTTTATCAAGAAATTATGATAAATAATGAAAATTGAATATTAACGAAAAAGAAGAAATAAAATACCCACTTAAGCTGAAATTCTAGATGCTAATGATCCGAGAGGAATTTGGTCCGATATATATGAATCACAGTATAAATAAACTTCCAAGATGCAGTTATTAATCGAGCCCCAAACAACGCATTTGACAATTCGGTGAATTGCTTGTTTCACCAGGTCACTAATCCGTTCGCTGATAATAGAACCTTGTAATGGATAGAGAAATTCAGAGGGGTATACAATGCGATCAATTATGCAGCCAGCTATTACACAGGGGTAATATATCTGGTAGAGGCTTACGAAATAGTTATTTCTATTACTATTAAAGGAAGTGTTTGTAGCCATTTGATACTCAAAAATAGTTATCCCTTCAGAAAAAATGCGTTTTATCCCTTTTGTTACAGGGATAACTATTGTACTCGATTATATAATTTGGGGTTATGAGAGAGCCATGAAAGTACTCTACGCGTATATAGAGAGGAATGTAGAGAGGAATGTAGACTGTGTAGCAATATGGACTGGAGCGTGGCTGGGACATGCTGGATAGAGTATATAACAACTGGATTGGCCACGGATCAATTGTGCCAGGTAGCCTAACACCTAGGCGACCGGAAAGAGATGCACGCGGTGTGACAGTTAAGGGGAGACAGCCCGATGGAACCAAATGACTCCAGCAAGCCAATTGGGGTTTGTGATTCGCGCAGCCAACATTGTTCGCAGCTAGTGAATTTAGACGGACATAGCCAAGAACGCGAATAAAGCAAACGGGGACTAATGTGTTACGGCCAAGCTTCGATATGCTGGGGGATTTAGATGAGGGTCAGGCCAAGAGAAAGTATCAGGATAATGTCAAAAAGAAACGACCAGGTCAAGGTCAAAACCAAGGGTCAACGGTGGGAGCCATCGCAGCTGGGGGATTGGGGCACTAAAGGGGGTATTCACGCATCAAAAATATCCTCCGCTAATGATCAGATTGCGTGAAGCGGAGGCCCGTAAAAGACGTCTCTACTGCATGTAGTATGCAATCGAAAAGGTAGGTGAAACGGCATTCTGGTCCGTCTGGTCATACAAGCTGGGTGTATGAGGTGTTTGAGGATGCGGGCTTAAGATGAAACAGTTAGTGAAACTTGACACGGTTGAATTGTGACGACTAGTTTCAGCCGTCGTGACATCAATTCACAAACACGAATGTGCCAAGGGGCTGAAACTTGACAATAGATGTTCGCGGTAGACACCCGACTAAGAACGAGTTCGTGAACCTGAACAATATATGATAAAGACGATAGAGGTGTTGCATGAACTGGTTTAAGACAAGACTCTAGTAGAGGATGTAGAAGGCTCGTGTGATACTGTAACAAGACTGTGAGAAGAAAAGCTCTGGTGGGGGGAGTTGTTGAGCGGACAACTACAGACAATGGGTGCAATATCCCCAATTGGGCCGAGTGGCTCCTTTATAGTTTTAGTCATACCTAAATAGTCATAATTGTATTAAACCTAATGTACGATGTCAGACAATCTAATGGAGAGAGCACTAGTAGTTGATGACCGAATGTATTGTTGCAGTGGTATACTTGATTATGCATTATTGAGCATAAATTGACGATTTTTGCAATTCGCAGTGATAATAGTATAGAAGAAGTTGCATGACAGATCAAGCTATTAAGATCATGACCTGTTACTACAATGATGGGGAGTAATGAGATTTAATGATTATATGGGCGTGACAGTTTGAACAGCTACGATTGGTTTTGAGAATGACATCACTCGGCACATATACGGATATAGTTCTGAAGTGATCTAATGTAGAACTCTAAATAGTAGAATTTGTCAATTTTTGCATTTCGCAACAATTAGTATGCTGAAACTAAGTTATACGGAACTGTAACATATGAGAATCAATACACGATCATTTACACAACCTACTACTACCTCATAGATTCTCTGTTGTTTCTTTAAGAGGGTTGATTTGGCAATCCAGTTTGGTTTTTATTATGTTCTAAAGTTCGAATTTAAGATATCATATGAGATCATCGATTTAGAAGAAGTATGTTGATAAACACAAATAGTTGATGCGAGATATGTCACTTGAATGATTGGAGCTGACGGTGAGATGGCCTGTATTTTATTACCCATTCATCGATTATTATGTTATTCATTATGAATTTTTCTGCAATTGCCTCCATTACGAAAAAATCCTTAGCGATCTGATCATCGTTATATAAAGCCTTAGCAAAGTCTAAATCTCTTCATACACCAAACAACAGTGCTACGTCCAAATGATCATCATTATCATTATTAGAACCTATATAACGCCTTTTCAATTCTTCATATTCGCCAAAATAAGCAGCGAATAATACTTTGGTCTCTCTATCCAAATCGTAATCACTCATTACAAAATAAAACCTACAGAATTCCCGTTCCACACATCCTGCTGCTTATCGTTATCAATAGAGTACGACATCATACACCAGGGCTGAGGCCCTCGAAGGACAAATGTTACACAAAATATACCCCGCGAGTCAAGTCGTGTGTGTTTACCAATTCGATGATAATGTCCCATTAGACAAATTTTTCACTCGAATCGCAGTATACGGTTAAGGTCTTTATTCAAACTAAGAATAGTCTGCAATTTTTAGTAAAAGCTTAAAGTGATTATCTCTAGTTAACAATGTCTGCTGAAACCGCATTATCATACGCTGCTTTAATCTTAGCCGATTCTGACATCGAAATTTCGGCTGAAAAATTAGCCCAATTGACCGCTAAGGCCAATGTTGAAGTTGAATCCATCTGGACCGACATCTACGCTAAGGCTTTAGAAGGTAGAGACTTGAAGGACTTATTCTTCAACATCCAAGCTGCTCCAGCTGGTGCAGCTGCCGCTGCCCCAGGTGCTGCCGCTGCCTCTGGTGAAGCTGCTGTTGAAGAAGAAGCCAAGGAAGAAGAAAAGGAAGAGTCCGACGATGACATGGGTATGGGTTTGTTTGATTAGATGACTACGCGACGTCCGTCGGGGTTTATAGGTTTTTAATTGAATAAATAATTGCGTGTTGAGTGAGTGTAGAAGAAATGAGAATACTGGGTGAATTGTGAATTGAGTGGGAAGTGGGAACAGGGAGAACAGAGGCCATATTAACGATCTGGAGCACTTCGGGTCAACATCCATATGTTTAGAACGACGTATACTCCAGATTCACTTCCATATGTTTAGAAACGTTTACTTCAGGTCCACATCCATATGTTGAACCACGTAGATATACAGCGCACCAGAAACGTAGATATAGTGTAGATTTGACTTGTCAGACTGCCGAATATACATAACCATCTGGCACGCAAACTTCCGCCTAAACTTAATCTCATCGCTCTACACTCTCGTACTAAACCACGTTTGTATTAAATCAAATGAACAATTTACAGGATATAACCGTACGTAATGCTAATAAACACAATATATACTCAGCGTTCCTCAGCTCCTTATTTCTTCTTCTTGTCAGCTTCGGCTTCAGCCTTTTCTCTGGTACGCTTTTCTCTAATACCCTTGTATTTCTTGTCGGACTTGGCCAATCTCAAGGTTCTGAAAGCACTTTGTTCTGGTTGTTCAACGGCTCTTGGGGCAGATTCAACGGATGGTTGCACAACTGGGAAAACAGTAGCAACATCGGCTTGCTTATGGCTGACAGCTTCAGCAGCCTTGGTGTTCTTGTCGAAAACAACTAACTTGGACTTGTATTCTTGTAATCTGGCAGCATTAGCTTCGAAGGTTTCTTCGCTTCTGTTTTGTCTTCTGTGGTCAACAGAGATACCAATGGTTCTAGCGTACTTAGCACTTAATCCAACAGCCTTCAATTCGGCTAAGGTGAACCCTCTACCGGCTCTGACCTTTCTGTTGTACTTGATAGTTGGACATCTAACAACTGGTCTCAAGGTGTCAATTGGTCTTGGGGCAATCTTGGCTGCCTTAGTCAATCTGTGGTCTCTTCTAGAAGCCTTCTTACCAGCTTGGTCTAAGTGGACCTTGACACGTTCCTGCCAGTGCTTTCTGAAGTGATTCTTTAATAATGGTAAGTTCTTAGAGATAGCCATTGTTACTTAAACCTATACTAATGATATTATTAAAAAGTAGGACTTAATTATCATAAAAATTTTTCAATTCTTTTTTCCACTAATGCTCGTGCAATCCACCAACTGGTGGTCACACTCACACCCATTGAACGATGGGAAGGTGCTCGCTAATTGATGAGATTCTGCCAACTTGTCGGGCGCCGCGACCTCAGCGCACCGATGTCGTTTAGCGGTGACACGAAGTCGCAGTCACAAACCACATGATTTCAGGTGACCATTGCGCAGTATAATTGGGACTGCCACGGTACATGTGGAAACACGTCCCTAAACCGCGAATCAGGGTTCCCGGAGCCCTTACTGGAACAATAAATCCACTGGCGAGCAGTGCGATTCGTTGGCGACGACCCAGGGGGTTTGTGTAATTAGGCTCGAGAGGGCCAATTTTTTCAGTCTATTCGGTGCGATACAGGTTTAAGTAAAAGTGAAATTTTTTTTTCAGAGGAAAGCAATAGCTAATCAAGTAAATATGTCCACTCCATCTGTCCAAGTATGTATGAGTTGAGAGAACGGGAAGGGTATTGAAGAGGATACGAGATAATAAAGAGCAAATGTGAAATGAAGGAAGAAGATATGGTAAAATGGTGTACTGAAGAAATAATTAAAGAATATTAATGAGAAAGAGGAAAAGAGGGAGAAGCGATAAATGAGAGATGAGGATTATGAATGAAGAAATGGGTAGCATGAGAATGAAGAGAATAAAGAAGCGAACATAATGAACGTACAACGAAAAATCAGCATAGAATTAAGATCGAACTTCAAGCCACCTAATTTCCGTGTAATTACGTCCCAAAAATGATATACTAACATTTTAGACTTTTGGTAAAAAGAAGACTGCTACTGCTGTCGCACACGTCAAAGCCGGTAAGGGTTTAATCAAGGTCAACGGTGCCCCAATCACCTTAGTCCAACCAGAAATCTTACGTTTCAAGGTCTACGAACCATTAACCTTAGTTGGTTTAGACAAATTCCAAAACATCGATATCAGAGTTAAGGTCTCCGGTGGTGGTCACGTCTCGCAAGTTTACGCCATCAGACAAGCCATTGCTAAGGGTTTAGTTGCCTACCACCAAAAGTTCGTCGATGAAGCCTCTAAGAACGAATTAAAGAAGGTCTTTGCTTCTTACGACAAGACCTTATTAGTTGCCGACTCCAGAAGAATGGAACCAAAGAAATTCGGTGGTCGTGGTGCCAGAGCAAGATTCCAAAAATCTTACCGTTAAGAAGCCGTATCAATCATATATTCATATTATTTGGTGTTTCTTTTTAGTTTTAAGTTTTTGGTTGGATTAGTTTTTTCATCCCCTTTTATCTAATGTATAAATAAATCACGTTTTGACATGAATGTAGTGTAGGCCGTAGTGTACGATAGTACTACAAGTAAAAAAATTACGGATATGAACATATTCACAACAGGAGTCAAGTTATCAATATCATGTAAACAGAATAATATCATTAACCTAAAAACCATTCACTGCAACAGAGTTTATTGTCTATATAATTCCTAATTTCAGTATAGCCAAACCTCTTGAGATTACTAACTATCTTGTAGTTCGTTCAATATGTGCTATACATTCTTGATTGTGTTTCAAGTATCATCACATGGTGAAATATTTAATGGGAAGGTAGAAATAATGGGAAATATACAAACCTGGTTGCGAAATACCAAATCAGAGATAATATAATTATTGTTGTTCAGTAGAGGATAATCATTGTAAAACAATTTTTTATATAATCGTATAGTTTTCAGTGTATAAGGATGTCTGTTGAACTCCAAACCATTTATCTATCTAATCCATATTGTAAAGAATGCGCAGAAATCTTCCATATGCATTGTGCACATAATCTCCGGACTATCTGGGTACAGATTAAATATTCAAGAGCATTTATAAAACAGCTTCGTTGCGTATAGTACTGGTGATCATCAAAAAGCTAGGCTTGATTTATTTCTTCCATGTCTTCGTCATACTTTCCGTGATTCTCTCAACACCTCACAATGTATTGATGAAAGCTATTGGAGCCTTAACAGATCTTTTTGAGAGCGGAACCTCGACAGTGCGAAAAAAAAGGGCCATATAAAATTTCTAACTGTACGTTTTATAAAAATGCCAAGGACTAGAATATTATGTACTAGTATAATAATCCGGTCATACGGCACTACAAGAAAATTGAAGACTAATTTCTGAAGTGAGATTAAGGTGTATAGTATATAGTCACCTTTTTTAGCTTTGCTAAAAACTGGGATAATATACAATAAATTCCTACTCGCGGCTTCAAGAACTAGGGAGAACACTGTATAAGACAACTAAAATATAATTCATGTGGCGATGAATGGTCACAAGATAATGAGCACGAGCATCTGAAAATATCTTAGTGGCCGCTCAGCAGCAGATAAGATAGACAGAACCTAATAACGTAATAATCTTATCTTCTCTTTTTTTTACGACTTTAACAAGTCTGCAAAATGCGCAATCTCCAAGTACAGGTGATAGATCCTATCCTTTCTAACGATAATTTATACGCAGAGACTGAGACATTTCATCTCTTTTGGATAGCCATACGACGTCAGACGGGAACGTTTGAATTCACGCTGACATTTTTTTATATAATCACTATTGCGATTACGTAACCGCAACTAACGATTAAGGGGTGAACAATAAAGCATCGCTGTTTAATATCTATCACAAATGCCAAGTATGTACTTTTCAGGGGTAGATAGCAGCGATATCACCATCGATGATCCTAGCAAGCGTCGCATTATAATAAATCCAGAATTATATGATAGAGTCCGCAATAACGAGGAAGAGAATGCAAGAACTTTTTTAGATACTCACTTATTAAGGATTCGAAGTAAAAGAAGTGAGCCAAAACCCTCCTCAGGGAGATTAGTGCCCAAGAGTAAGGCATCCGTAGACGTAGGGAATAGGCCTTCTATGTCTATTCTTGCGTATACCAGCCGTGCATTGGTTACTGCGGAATTCANGGAGATGAGTAGGGACGAATTCAANGNNANGTACCTTGCNCCACTTGATAAGGCTCTTGAAGGGTCAAATATTTCAATTCCGCTTTTAGCACCCGCTTACCCTTATCCATTGGGGAATCCAATGCATGTGGAACAAGCTATCCAAGAGTACTTTAATGAACTAGCAATTCCAATCAGGGGACTTTATCGTGATATTGGTGATACAGACAACTATTTTGGCAGTCCACCAATTATAAGACCCCCCTTAGATCAACATAGAATATTACAGCCTGATATCATTCATATGATAAATAAGTCAGATTTGGATATACAACCCGAAATTGTTTTTGGGATAGGTGATTACAAAACGGGAGTCTATAAGATGATGGAAGGATTTGAAGAATTGAAGGCAGCTATAGAGAGTCAAATCGAGAATTTGCCGAACCAAAGAAGATTGAGGCTGCAATCTAGTGGGAACTTTTTTCCAGATAGGGAGTGGACGCCTAGGGTATTATTTGCTTTGGTTTTAAGAAAGTATATATACCAAGCTTTCCTCTGTGGAACCGACAGGATTTTTATTTCAGATCACCAAACATTCTCAGGGTTCTTTAAGTATGAAATTATGGATGACAAGATGTCTATAGACTACTATGTCATTAATGATCCAGAAACTGTTGAGCATGGCATTACTTTGAGGTCGGCAATAGCCGGATTTTTCTATAAGAATGAGGATGATGCGATTGATACAAAGGGCAGGTTGAAGAAAACTTTCGAAGTGGCCAGGAAAACTGAAGATCTGGATCCGTTTTTGAATGTTTTGCCTAAAACTTCTTATGGATCTCCAGGAAAATTATCGGATAGTGAGGTTTCAAGTAAGTTANCAAGTAAGTTAGATCCGGTAAAAGAAAACGACGATAGTGATAACTTTGATGCCATTGATGGTAACACATATTGTCGAGTTATATACGATGCTGCAGAGTTTTATCCTGATTTGAAACTCCCATCCCCTGTTTTTGTCAAATTATACTATTATTCTAGCCGGTTGTGGGAAGAGAATGATTTGATGTGTTTGGACATACCAGAGAAAAAGGGCTACTATGGCATGTTCTTCAATGAACTTGTAATCAACGAAAAAATTGCTAGTTCTCAATTTGCTTCTAATTTCCCAAAGCTCCTAGTCTCAGGTTACTGGAACGGACTTCCCGATCACCCGATGCATATATTTGAATACCTAGGAAGAGAAGTCCCGGAAGAAAAATGGGATAATAGAAAAGTACGCGCAATTATCAAGTCAAGGCTCGAGGAGCTCCATCTGTTAGGAATTTCACACAATGATGTTAGGCCGGCCAACATTCATGTTTCTGTTTCAGGCAAAATCTCTTTGATAGATTTTGGTCTCTCAGATTGCACAAATAATGAAGAACACAAAAAGAATGATTTTGAGACTCTTGACTACATATTGAGAGCAAATGGTTCTAATGAAAATGATCCTCAAGGCAAACAGTATGGTCAAGAAAATGAAGTACTTCCTGACGAGGCCGGGAATGATGAAAATGATGGAAGTGATAGTAATCCTTCCTCTGAAGCGGGTTTTGATGAGATGAGCACACAATCGCTCGCTACAAGTACAACAACGGAAGTTAATACCTCGAAGACGTCACAAAGATAGTAGTGCACATCCATAAAAGAACCTGCTATTTTAACAGCGTCTTGTTCTGCTTACTGCTCTCGTAGAATTTATTTGAGAAAGAGGTTTTAAATGCTAACCTTTGTTCCAAGCCAATATTCATCTTTATTGAAGACTTCCTCCATATGTATATTTCACGTAATCTATAATTTAGAATATAAATCAGGGAATACTATATTAGAGAAGAAGTATTCTAATAATAGAAAGTGGCACCAAGATGTACTTGTACTGAGAATTATCAGTTCACTATATAATACCTCGCAGCAATTTCTGAATATGTACCATCAAAAGTTTCTAATTTTTTTCAATTTTGAAAGTTCAGGTAGTATTTAGTATTCTGAATAAGTTTCAATATCCTTAATGAAGGGATCTGGATCATCAGCCAAATATGAAGATTCTAGCGAATAAAGTATGAGCTTATAGCTATGTAGTCAATTGTGAGCATAATTGAAGGGGAACTTATACAGGATTTGAGATAGCCCGCGTTATATTATTTTGTTGCAACCTGCGGCATGTGGAGTCTCTACCTCCTTCAGCGGGTCCAGTATATCCTGACTTATTTGATGCCTTGTATATCCTGTTAATGATATTTATTGGGATAAAGAAATATGGAATATATTGTATTAGCGTAAACTCCAATTCCATCGCCTTATGTATGTGGGCTTTAGGCCTATCTCCCCGGCTCCTTCTCAGTGGGGTTTTCCAGTGTCCGTTTCTAGGAACGATTCGAATCTCTCACCCATTATTTAATAAAAATCTTAAGGTGGGAGATAATTAAATAGAATGCAATTGAATGTGAACTGATAATACAGAATAGTCTGCGTGCTGTTTACTTTAGGGATCGGTTTGATGTTATGACTCCTTATAAGTCAAATAAATATATAAATAAGTACGCAAAGAAAGCAATATTGTACAGTCGGAGGCTTATGTATGTATCAACCACCTAATAGGAAGCATAGGCAGTAGTTAGTGCATGCATTGCCCATATTCATATACCAGTATATGAACATAGCAAGAATCGTGATATATTCTATATTAAACTGCACAATTTAATTGCGAGTGCTTTGACTTTATTAATGAAAGTTAAAAAATAAAGGAACCAAAGCCGCAGATATTAGATTGTTGTAACAAAAGCATCATGGCAATTAATTATAATATATACATTGCATCTTTACTCAATATCACGCCAGTTCCCTTAAGTTTCTAAACAACAGTGATATGCGTTGTTTATTATAATTGTATATGAATTGGCAGATGGTCGTGAGCCGAATGATTAAAAGCATTGGGGCAAGCTGGAAAAATGAACCAGGACTTCTCGCATGCTTGGATTATTGAGGTGTAGGGCTGTTGGAGTATTTAATGATAATCTTTAAATACTTATTGAGAAGTACGAAAATAATGAGAATGATATGAGCTGGCTGCAAAATAAGCCATTTAAATAACGTGCCACTGCTATTCAATAAAGATAGCGGTTGTCTTATCATTATTCTAATTTGACCTGTTCTATCATTACATGATCAGTACGCTGTTATTGTAGCCAGACACAGCATTACTATCAACAAAACGTTTCATGGCTGATTCTGCTCTAATTATATCTATGGAAATCGTAAGCCTATTCTTTCCATTATATAAAAGGAGCTCTATCTACCTTACAATTAATTAGAATATTAAGAAACTAAGTAAATCAAATTATAAGTATAAAATATACTGACGTTCTGCTTTACATTTAAATCGATATCATATTGAGAATGACTACTTATACTACGTTTGTGAATTTAATTCAACAAAGCCAAGGTGACATGACCATTGATCTGGGCAAGAACTTTTATATCAGCCTCCAAGTTCAAGTCAAGTCTTAACAGTGGTGCACTGCTGTCATCGCCGCTTTTCTGCTGCTGCGGCTGCTGTTCTTGCTGCGACAGCACCTGTTACTGTCGAGATTCTGCCTTCGTACCATCACCAGTCGTGGTCATTTGTCGCTGTTCTCTGCATTCTCGTGGACTAATCTTGGCAAGAGAGTTTTTGGAGACTTTCTGTTTCTTGCTGCCCGTTTCATCAGTAGCTGATTCAGGTTCAGATTCCACCTCTGTTTCTGACTCTTCTTTGAATTCGTCTTCGTCCTGTTGCACCTCATTTACAGGTTTTGGTTGTTCCTGAAAATCCTTTTTGTTGCTTTGGTTCTTAGAACCTGTCTGTTTCTTTGGAGATTGTTGGTTGGAAGCCATCATAAACAACTACATATAAAAATAAAAAAAAACTTGTTGTAACGATAAAATTTGAACCAGAAGAGCGAATTCTCATTGCTTTATTTAATATAAATACTTTTACCTTGTTATCAGCCCATACCAATCTAAGTCCTCTTCTTTGTACACCTACGTCTCTTCTCATCTGATAAACCTGCATTTATTCATGCATGAGACGTATGCAGGGGAAGTATGCAAGCTAATTATGCGTCAATAAGTTTCGCTAATCGGATTGTTACAATAAGGCCGCCGTTAAGACACCTTTTCCATGAAATATATATAATTATTATGTTATACATGACAGAAATACTTCTATGTGTGACCCGTAAATGAGATTAACACTTGATGATTTCTTCTTGGTAGAGCAAAAGGAAAAAAAACGCAGACCCCTATGTGCCGTCTTTGTGCCTCCCGATAATAATTGCTCCGCACTTGTTGCTTGAGACACACTAGACCAGCAGTTTTATCTCTGCAAGCTTTTAAAAGCTGACATGACAAGCAATCGGGAGCAACCATTTTTTGAAGCATTGATTGAGAGATGGTGTAGGGATGCTGACCAAATGGGGAGGCAAGGGTGTCTTGAAAGCAGTCGACAATGTCAGCTTTGGTCAAGTCAAGGACAAAATGCTGTTGATGAGCTTATGTACTCTTTGGACGAACTAACAAAGAGCCCATTGAATTTGACTTGCAATTGCAGCGAAACTGGGTACCAATATAGTAATTCTTTATGTAGATTATACATATCCTCTTAGCCAGTTAAAACCTATTTTCTTGTTGTTAGCTAACTATATAACTTTAATTAAATTCTGACGCAAGCTGGTATGAAAAAGTTTACCAAAAGTTGAAGAGTTTGGTCAAAAGCGATATACGATACGGTAGCCCTGCTGGTTTTGTTCCAGACATTCAACCTTCTGAAGAAGCTTTTGATATTTTTGACCTGTTGCTCATCTTGATTGTACCGTGGGGTTCATGCCACAACGCTCTTGTCTATGTATGTGAAAGGTTTAATGGTTTGGAGTGAAAATGTCGGGAGTCTCATGCCAGAATGCTTGAGACCTTAACCTTGATAGTATGCCTACGGCAGAAGCTGCTGTTCCAAGCGAAATTTCTTCTAGTCTAGTCTAATGTTCATTAAGAAAAGGTAATGCCGAGATGGATCTGAAGTGACATGCAGCAATATTGCCTCGATCGTCCATCTTGTGCATCCAGCTTACACCGAGCGTAAGGACTTTTGTGTCAAAGCAATGTTGATACTTTTTCTAACTATAGAAGCAAATAATACATATATGGGGGACGAAAAAAAACCAGCTCTTTTTCGCTTTAATTCAATAAGGCCAAGGTGACATCACCCTTAATCTTGGCACGAAGTTCTATATCAACATCCAAGTTCAAGTCAAGTCTTAATCTTAATGCACCTTGGTCATCGCCACCACCTTTCTGTTCCTGCGGCTCCTGTTCTTGCTGTGACTGCTGCTGCATCTGTTGTTGTTGCTGTTGAGATTCTTCCTCCACATCATCATCATCAATCTTGGCCATTTGCTGCTGCTTTTTGCGTTCTTGTGGAGCAAGAGCTTTCTGAGCTTGTGCTTGCTTCTTCTTTTTCTTCTTACTAGCCTTTCCATTAGGTAGTTGTTCAGCTGCTTCTGGTTCTGGTTCTGGTTCTGGCTCTGGCTCTGGCTCTGTCTCTGACTCTTCTTCGGATTCTGAGTCGGACTCAGAGTCTTCTTCGGAGTCGTCTTCGTCCAGACTCACAGGCTTTGGTTCTTCTTCTTCTTGTTTCAATTCAGGCTCAGGTTGCTCTTGAGATCCTTTCTTGTTCTTTGGGTTCTTAGATCCGGTCTTTTTCTTCGGTGTTTGTTGTTTAGAAGACATTGTAAACGACTGTATAAAAAATTTAGTCAAGAAGATACCAACTAAACTAAATGAGCGAATTCTCCTTGCTTTATTTAATATCACCCCAGGAGAGCAACCTACATTTTTCCTTCCCGGAGAAATTGCCTATTATACATGACAGCAAGAAAATCAAGGAAGTCCGACATCATCTGTTATGAACCTCTAACTGAGGTACTACTATTCCCACTCCGCCTCTCCAACCGGTAAGATTGTTGGTGAGAAAGAACCCGTATATGTGCCTGCTTGCGCACGAGAGAACAAGAAGAAAAAAAAGTCCCTATTTCGTTCAACAAGCAACCTTTATCTCACCGATTAGGTCAGATAGTCTGGCTTTTTGTTCGAAATAGGAAGCGTTCATCGCAGTTGCTTCTTTGCTTTTTGCTTCTTTGCTTTTTGCAAGCGGTGACGCCGCACAGTTGTGGTCCCTTTTTTTTTGAGCAATAAAGAACGCTGGTAATCATCATTTCGTGGTTTACAGAAATTACGCTTTAACTGTGTCTTTCTAGTACGTATGAAGGAAAAAGCAACCCGTTGATAATGTAGTTGTATAAATTCTATACCATCTGCTCTTTTTCATTGTTCTTAATATTGTTTTTTAACTTACAATTTGTTATTATAATTATACTAAAGAAAAATGACAGATACAATTTCAACCGCTTCAGATCCCGTTAAGGACAATGTATCCGAGAAAACAGGACAACTGGGTGGTGGAGATGACGATAATCAAACCAACTTTCTCGATTCTATTCAACAAAAAGTTTCTGACACAACAAGTCAAGCCACTGGCACTGTCAGTTCCGTCAAGGACAATGTACAAGACAAGGCTGGTAAAGTAACCGACCAGGTGTCATCAACCGTGCCAGGGGCCGATTTTGTGACTTCAAAGCTTAAAGAGTTGCAAGGTACGCTTAAACTCGACGAAGGCGGCCAGGTGGTTGATGCGGCTGGAAATGTG